CACGAACACAAAGGCACCAAGCCCCGCAGCCGAGCCAGCCCAGTTTGAGGACAGCTACACACAGCCCGATGAAGATCCCTACATGGCCCCCTTGCAGTTTGACAAGCTCATTGCAGATACGGCCAGTCGTCCTATCGCAACCCCGGTAAGATCCGCAATTGACCTGCGACAATCACAGGATGCCCAGGTGCTCCGATCCCCAACCCCGTCGCAGTGCTCAGACCCGGAACTCACAGATGGGGAGACCTGCACTTTGCATGATGGGTACGATGATCTAGCTTCCCGGCATGACATACACCTTCGATCGCTGATTTCGACACCAGCCCTCAACCACTAAGTTAAATCTCGATCTAAGGATGACAATGACTTGCAGACTGCCTTGGCGAGCTTGCAGGCCCAGAGAGCCGAGCCAGTGCCACTGCTGCATGATCTGATGGCTGAAGAAGCTCAGATGGAGGAACCTGGGATGTGAAGTATACTACTAGCATGCATTCTGCTTCGAGTGGTTGCCTGGCTAGATAAGGAATGGGGTGACGACGATGACAAGCAGGAGGCTCCTGCTCCAGCTCCACAGGAGCCTTTCAATAATCCTAATTCACCCCTAATTTTCCCTAAGCACGAAAGTCCTAAACTAAACCTCGAAACCTAGGCCCTGAAATCCTAAACCCTTCTGAACCCTCAACCCCAAAATAAGCTAGGCTTTCGGTTGCGAAAGTTCTAGATATCATGGGCAGATTGCAGTTACTAGAGCAGGTTTTGGAAGGACTGAGGCTGGAATGTGCTTGATACTGAATGTGTGTGTGTGTGTGTGTTGTGTGTGTGTTGTGGTGTGTTGTGCTGTGGTGTGGTGTGTTGTGTCGTGTTGTGTTGTGTGTGTGTGTGTGTGCTTGTGAAAGTGTGGGGGGGACCTAGTTAATAGAATATAAACCCGGCCTAAATATCCTCAGGGAGAGTGTTGCTCCAAACCCGAAACCCAAACCGGGTCCTAGCTATCCGCACAATCCTTCCCGAAAACTTAGAGTTTATAGACATACATAGATGTTTCATAATGCATATATATATATATGTATATATATATATATATATATACTCACCCATGCTATGTTCGTCTTATTGAACTCATACTGCTGTTGAGGCCCAGCCCCACATCTGCCCCACCAGGAGCCGATCCGCATCACGCCCAACCAGCTCGCTTGCTACGATGCCACGCTTCGCCGCCTTTGCAACCCCAAGAACAAAAAGAAGGCTCCGCAGGTTGTGGTTCCGGAGGAGGTGAAGAAGCAATGGCTTAAAGGTGGAGGCTTCAGGAAAGAGCTCTTGCAAATTATGATAGAAGCTGCTGGAAACAAGGACCGATAGCGAGTGTGTCTGAATTACCACGTGATGCTGGAAACACGAGAGTCGTAGTCGTAGCCCCAACCTTCGCAGGACGACTTCGTCCAGAAGGCAGAATTGGTGATCGAGAGCCGCCGGGAGGTTACTTTGAAAGTGGAGGCTGGGTGGTACTCCGAACGGTCCATGGGCCAGGATCTGGGCTGGACGCCGTACCTTGGGTGCATTTTGTTCGTCCATTATTTGTGCTCGTGCATCGATGCCAGCAATCGACAATCTTCTCAGGGCCCGCATCCGTGCAATCAAAGCTTACTGTACATCGACGAAAGAGAGACGACGAACCTTGGTGAGGCCGGGTTCCACGATCACGGTCATCCCATAAAGCCTAAATTTCACAGCATCGAATGATCTATCCAAATCTAATCGTTGCAGGCAAGACAAGTACGAAAAGGACGTCAAGGAGTATTGGGTCGATATCAAGACCACAGGCGAAGTTCGTCGGACGATGAGCGAGGTCACCGTCCGTTCGTTCGTCGTCGACAAGTGTGCAGCTTCTTTTCCGGCCCCCCTATCCATCGGCAAAAGCACCATGCCCTTCATGCCCGACGAACCCGGTTTCGTGAATGAGGGTGAGGATGAGCAGGAGTCCGAAGATGATGATGGTGGCAAGAAAACTACGCCTAAACGGGCGGCCCAGAAAAAAGAGCCGTCGAGTAGGCAGGCTGCTGTTGTTGGTGATCTTGAAGAGGACCGACCCAATATTCCCGAACATTTACTCGTATAGATATATAAACGAGCAATCCCAGCCAAATACCAATCTTGCACGCCAGGACGTTTCCAATATCCCCGAGACCCTGAAGGACATCCTCAGAAGCCAGAACAAAGCCATGACCTTGATCGAGAAGGTGTGTGAGAAGACACCCAAGGATGCCAAAACGGACGAGTGCACTGGCTACACTAGGTGTACCACTAGTCATCTAAAGATTTGAATCTATGGCTCATCTAAGGACCGCCAAACTCCGGGATCAGGCAAACAAGCTTCTTACCCTTCATGATGATATTGCAGACCTGAAAGCGACCCATGATGTGGACGGGGGGCTCAATGCTGAGATACCAGATGGCATTAGGGTGGGCTCGATCGAACTACTTCCGGCTTAGTCTTTGGGATTCAGTGTTGCAGGTTTACGATTGAAGCTCTGGGGTTGCAGGGTTATTGTGAAAGCTATGATGCATCGATCCGATCTAAGGAGCAGCAAGGCCCTGAAACGAAAGCTCAGCGAGGTCGAGATGACGTGTCCGGGTTGAATTAAGCTTAGTCGCTTCTCCATGCCCAGCATTGTCTTCATGTGCCAGCGACGGATAGATTCCGCAGCTCCTTGTTCGAGGTGCAGCAAGATGACTATGGAGGAGAACAAAGTCAGGCGGTCGGAGCCACAGGGACCCCGTCATTTATCAATGCATAATATATTCGTGAAACTACTATAATAAATCGTTTCAGATATTCGCTACAAGTCGAGGCTCTATCTTCGCAAGAAGCCGAAGGCCAAGGCAAGATCCCGCAAAACCACGCCTGAAGAAGATGATCGATCGCTTGAGGGAGAGGAGGAACCGAGTGATGATGATGATGATGGTGTTGCTCCGAGCGGCAAGCCTAATGCTACGCCTAAAAGTAAGGCCAGGGCTAAGGCTAAGGTGAAAGCAGTAGCAAAACCCGCCGCTGGCAAAGCCAAGGCGAAGGCTAAGGCCAAGTGAGTATAGCTGAAGCAGTTGTGTGACAGCCCAACCCTAGAACCGTAAACCACTAAAGCCTATAATGTGTATTCCCTATAGTCGTGTGTCGACCCCTTAAAGATTGTGTGGCAGACAGCTGTGATGATGCTCACATGTTGGCCTGCAGTTAGATCTGCAATGTCTAGCACTGAATATCAGTGCACCGACCTGATTTTGGCCGGGGTTCCACGTGCACGATCTCAGTCTCCGAAGCAGTCATGCATAATCCATATAATACCTTAGCTGTGCCGTTGTGGGTGAGGCTGGGACGTGTCGTGATTTCAATCGGGGAAGATGCGAAGATTAGATCTGCATTCGCAGGGGCAGGAAAGAGTCCGACGATATTGCTTTAGGGTTTAGGGCTTAAGGGTTTAAGGTTTTAGGGGTTTAGAGCTTTAAAGGTCCAGGGATTTAGGGGTTTAAGGGTTTAGGGGTGATAACCCGGCAACACCACAGGAGGCCTGGATGCAAAAAAGGGTTTAGGGGTTTAGGGTTCGGGGGTTTTGGGTTTTAGGGGTTTAGGGGTTTGGGGTTTTGGAGGTTTAGTATTTAAGGTACAAGTAGCATTGGGCCCCGAGGCTCCACGATATCCTATGGTCCTCTGAACCCTAAACCACAAACCCGAAGTCGCCGTAGCCAAAACCTATAGGATATACATACATAACCCGAAACAATTGCCCGCAGGGCTTGCATTCCCGATAATGATTGACGATCTTCGCCCATCACCGTGCAGATCGAGCCCAATTCTCTCTGAGTCGCTCTCTCTGTATGTAGATCTATATCTATATCCGTGCATATATTATTATTAATTATCTATATATCTAAAATCTTATCTCTACCTCTCTCTCTTTCTCTCTCTTTCTCTCTCTCTCTCTCTCTCTCTCTCTCTCTCTCTCTCTCTCTCTCTCTCTCTCTCTCTCAGTTCTCTCTTCTACGGAAGAACCAATCGAATAAATCGAGCGAAAGCGCCCCGATAGTAGAAACAACACCCTTTGAAACCGGAATGCCCGAACATGACAACCTAAATTAAACCTCCATACACACCCCTCTAACCCCCATATCTACCCCCGGCCAAACCCATAAACCTTTCCAAGCTCCAGCCAACAGCAGGTACATCGCAGAAGCAGCGGGCTGGGCCAGCAGGTCAGGCCTTGGCGAGGGCCAGTGCAGCCGGAGTTCTTTGACTAGCAGGTTTAGTCTGGGTTTAGCATAGGTTAGTTAGGTTCGGCCTAGTCTCGAAGTAGGCTTTCCATACTTACATAGCTAAGGTATCTGACCGGCTGGTGTGCGATTTGGCAGCAGGCTTTTGGGAGGAACATTCTGGGGCCTATGCTTCGAACAATGACGATGGTGATATCGATGTGCTGCCTAGTTCCCATGTATTGAGAGCAATGCATCGAAAGCGAAAGACATTGCACGAGAACTCGGTGCAACAAGTATTCAACTCTACTGGGCTATCGTGTCCAATCCCGGTGGACTATGTTGAGTTGCCGAATGGAGATCGCCATGAAATTTTCAGGGTGGAATCTTTTCTTCGTGTGTTCAGCTTGCATGAGAAGATGCATTTGTTTCTGGGCCACGTGCAGGACTTCAGTCTGACCGGGGAGTATTGGAAGCGGGTCAAATGCATTGATCCCGATCACCCAGTATTCTCCTACCACAAAGGTAGGGAACAATATGTGATTCCATGTTGCCTACATGCTGACGAGGGTCGCACGCTGAAGAAATCGAGCATCATGATTTGCAACCTGCAGCCGGAGTTAGGCGGCAACCTCGACCCTGAATATGACCCGGAGGAACTAAACACGAACATGAAGTTCATCTCTTGGGTTACGAGGTTTCTTATGTTCACCATGCACAAATCCATCTACAAGAAGGATTCAGCTCCATTGTACAAGATGTGGGAAAGTGTGGCCACGGAACTCCTGCATTTGTGGACGAATGGTGTGGAGCTGATATTGAACAATGCAAAAGTCACAGTATTTATATGTCTCACTGCAATCAAAGGCGACTGGCCTCTGTTGGCCAAACTCGGCTGCCTCGAACGATTCTTTGGCAGGAAGACGAAATCAAGCAATCAAGACAAAGCCAAAGGAATATGTCATTTATGCCTTGCCGGGAAAAGTGGTTTCCCGTTCCACGATTGCATGGATACGGCTCTTTGGCGAGCTACTTTTCTTCAACACAGCCCATTCTGGCAGCCGTCTCCATTCGCTTGCTTGCCATATCATCAGCCACTGCTATACAGATTTGACGTCTTTCATGTTTGTCACAAGGGGGTGCTTGCAGAGCTAGCAGGCAGTGGGCTCGTGGCATGCTGCATTTGGTAGATGTTTAACGGGTTAAATGCTTAAATTTAATACCCTAAGGCTAAAAAAAGTGTAGGGTTTAGGGTTTGGGGCATAGTCGACAAAGGTGGTTCTCATGGACCTTGGAAAGGCTGGCCCCGGAGATGTTCACGTGCAACTGGCTACTCTGTACGAAGAGCTGGTCAGCTTCAGTCGAAGGAACTCGCTGAACCTTCATATGAGCTCACTGACACGAACTCTGGTCAACTTGACAAAGGATGCTGACTATCCTTGTGGGTGTTATGGCCTAATCGAGAATAGAATTTGTTTTGTATGTTTGTTTTGCATATGGAGGATATATGAGAGATTCTGTCTTTATTATTTCAATTTTGTCCCAAACACAATCTACACTAGGTCCCGGTATGCAATATATAGCGGTCTAATTCTTAAATTAAGCAATGATTTCTATAAGTCCATTCTGCAGGACATGGTTCAAGGGGCAAGATACAAGTATTGTCAACAGATTTCTCGAAGAGCGGTTCGGGACATTGCTGGCCGAGGAGCCGTCTGATTACGTTGCCGCCATCCACGAGGCAGTGTCCAAGGCGAACTCCATGATGCGGCACTTGTATGCTCATGGGCTTTGGTATCGGAGGTTCGATGCGGAAGTGTTCGTACGGCATACTTACGGCTTCATGACGAAGTACTTGGAGGTCGCTTACATGGCTTTGTCACAACGAAAAACACGTTTCAAGTTGACACCGAAGCTGCATGCCTTCAATCACATAGCTGATTATGTGAGAAACGATTTGGAGAAATATCCTTTGGCTCAATGGCTGAGAAATCCAGCCACATGGTCAACTCAGCAGTGCGAAGATTTCACAGGGAGGGTAAGTCAGCTCAGCACAGCTGTCAGCTCTCGGGCTTGCCACCGGCAAGTTATGTGCAGATATGCAGTCAACTTGTGGAAGCACTGGTAGGACGGAAAAGGTCCGATTGCGGATGAGTTTTCAGGGTTTTCGAGGGAAACTTCGGCTAGCTTCAGCTCGGCGACGAATTTATCTCTAGAATATCCCTATTATGTATATATAACAAAAGATAAATCTGCCACCAACACAGAGAAACAACAACTTTCGGCGGTGGCGTTTGTTTCTGCCACTTGGTTTTCCAGGTTATTTGAATTAACGTTAATATAAATCTCGCGAATTTATCCATACATTTTATTCTATGTAAAATATAAAATATTCTTTATTTGAATTAACGTGAATATAAATCTCGCGAATTTATTTGTAGAATTTAATTTTTGAATTATCGTTAATATAAATCTCGCGAATTTATCCATACATTCTATTCTATGTAAAATATAAAATATTCTTTATTTGAATTAACGTTAATATAAATCTCGCGAATTTATCCATAGAGAGTCAGACCTGAAACAACCGTCTTCGGTCAGTAGTGAAAAGGAAAGACGCATCACACTTACGGCGATAAGCGTCAAGGCAGCATCAGGCTCGGGAATCTTCAGAAAGCCATCGCTGCAGGTGACACACAGAAGCTACAAAATGCACATGAGCTGCAATCGAAGATCGAGAATTAAGCGGATGTTGTGGCATAAAGACCAACCGCAAGAAATTCTCGTTTGAGAGCTGGGCAACATCGATCACATAACTTCGCATACGACTCTGCCAAATCTGACGCTGCTCATCAAATAAGGGACACTCTCGCAACCCATGCAGAAGACTGCAGCTTGGATTGCCACACAAACACATATGCTGCACGAAAGCGTCCCCTGCACGGTGACGTGCACTGCGCCCATCCGGGAATGGATGGTGCCCACACCGGGCCAAAGTCCATTCACGTGTAACGTGTGTCGGAATCCTACCACCGTGCACTTGCACGTCACACTCAAGATAGGGATGATATGCCAGGAAAGGCCTCAAAGAAGACACGGTCACAGCTTCTGAGTGGTATTGTGCCCATGCCTGATTCTGTACGAGCGGCCGGACTACCGACCTATTCCACTGCAGCTGCGCCGCTAGAGCACCCGGCACCACCCCACAAGCAGCCGGCAGAAGACCGCCACTGGATTGTAGCTGCAGCTTCACGTCGTGAGCCCAAGACCCTGGCGAGTGCACAGCAAAGTGGAACACCCGACTAGCCAAAGTACGAGCGTCATCCGTGCCGCCAGCAGCACATAGCCGGCCAAATAAGCTGAATTGCAACCCGCGAACTTCAACTGACAGAGGGCGCCAGCCCAACTCGCCCACAACAGCCGCTCCGGGTGTGCCCCGAGGCCACAAAAGCAGACGGCGCCCAAATTGACGCATTTTCTTGTCCAGCATGCGGAGGGCAACATCATCTAAGAATTGAGAGCCGTACAAGAGCGATGGTAGCACATACGAGCGAAAGAGACTCGCGCGGAAGCTGGTGCACAAACCTCGGTTCTCCGCCCAACCCAGGCACTGATGGAACTTGCCAGTGCTCTTGTCAATACGGTGCGCGGCATGCTTTTGCCACTTCCTGGAGGCTTGGAACACCACCCCGAGATAACAGTATTGACTGACACATGGCACTGCGGCTCCCTGAAGGTGGAACCTGAAGCTAGAGGAACGTGAGCCGACCACAAGAACAGCGGTTTTGTCAGGACCAATGCCAAAAGAGAACCGCCACTGCGAGCCCCATGCGCCTACAGCGGTGAGAGCACTTTGCAAGTCCGACGGGTTGTCGGCAAGGATGACAAGATCATCAGCGTACAACAGCAAGGTGACCCGCGGTGCATTGGGACCGCTACCAAGCGCGACGCCTGGGCAAGCTGCACGAACAGCTTCAGCAACGCTGTCAAACAGAAGGTTGAACAACAGCGGGCCCAAGACACTGCCTTGCCTAACCCCAGCCTGTTCCGACCAAGGCTCAGAAAAGGAACCGTTAACAGAAACTCGCGCAGTGGTATTGGTGATCAAATCCGCAATGACTGACCACAAGCATCCTGTGACTCCGGCAGAAGCCAGCTTAAGTAGCACAGCATCCCGCCATGCCACGTCGAAGGCCTTCCGCACGTCCACAAATGCACAGAATGTGCGACGACCCGCCCGAAGACGAAGCGTTTCTGTCAGGGTGTAGATTTGCTCCTCAGCCCCCCACCGGAACCCAGCCTGACTCTCATCGAGCAAGGGATCAATGTGCGGCAGCAATCGCTTCAACACAAGTCGCTCAAATATCTTCTGACAGCTGCACAACAAGCTGATCGGCCGATAATTCGTGAACTGGTCTGCAGCACCACCCTTGTGGAGAGGAGCAACGACAGCAGAACGCCACACGGTCGGGACGATCGACCAAGACCGCACAAGCTCGAAGAATACCAACAGCGCGGAGCGTAAGCACGGATCCTCAACCCGGAGTGCTTCGTAGGGCAAGCCATCTGGACCAGGAGAACGCTCACAGGGAAGCTCCTGCAACACTTGAAGCAATTCAGCCTCCGAAAACGGAAAGTCAAGGTGACCAGTGTTAGCAGGCATGGAAGCCCTCAACTGTCGAACCGCGCCTTCAACATCAAATGATTGCGAATCGGGGTTCACAACAGCAGGCCGAGCATTCAAAGGCACGTCGCGGAAGTGAGCACGCCAAGCATCTAAGCAAGCTGGACCTTCAATAAAGCCATCGTGAGGGTCAGATGAACGCATGGCACAAGGTAGCACACGCCGTCGCATCCCCATCTGCTGACGAATGTTTTGCGCTGCCATGCGGGGGTTGTTACGGGCCAATTGCTCCTGCGAATCAAGCCACGTATTCCAGAACTGGGCCTTCTTGCGACGCACAAGATGGTGAAAACGAATCCGCTTGGCACGAAACTCTGCTCGAGCAGCAGGTGTTCTCTCACGCTGCCAAAGCCGATAGGCCGCGTTTCGTGCAACCATCAGGTCGTAACACTCAGAATCCCACCAGTCTGGCTGGGGACGACGCGGGTGCGGGGAACTACGCGCCAACTGCCCTGGCAAGCTCCACAGCAAGGCTACAAACTCACCGTAGAGAATATCGACAATTGCCCGCTTGGAGTCAACGCTTGCAGTGTTGCAGTCGTCTCGGAGATGCAATATTCGCGACGCCCACCTGAGGAGGTCAGGGCGCACGGTGCAAAGAACAGCACGCCAATCCCGGACTTTGGGCCAACGCGGAACCTTTGACACAGCTGCTGGCGTCACCAACACATCAAACGTAATAAGCCGATGGTCACTACCGAGGACTGGATGGCAACATGGAGAGGGACAACCACATGAGACGCCATCATGGACAACCACGTTTCTCACATCCAACGACCGAGATGCAAGCACCAAGTCAATAGAGGAACCGGACCTGTGAGTGGCAACGTGCATTGGGTTAAGGATGGATAAACCAAAGTCGCTCAGGAACGCGCGGATAACAATACGCAGCTGAGTTTCGCAGCTGCGCTCCCTGCCCGCATCCATGACTTCAGACAAATACACATTGGCGTCACCTGCCAAAAGCAACTGTGCACCAGGGTAGAGCTGCAAGATGTGCTGGACGGATGCCCGTAAATGATTCCAGAAGGCGAAACGCTCAGGCATGGACATCCCAACATGTGGAGCATAATAGCTGCATATCAGAATTTTTGCTTCATCAGGTGATGTCGCAAGGACTCTCCAACGGATACGAGGAGACAGCCCAGCAGACGAGACAGACCACGAAGCGGATGCAGAATGAACGAGGAAGCCGGCTTCACAACCGCCCAGACCCGTGGGGCCATCATAGCTGTAAGGCTGATCAATCGGAAGCGACGCACCATCTGGTGCCCGAGTTTCTTGCACGCACACCAAATCCACAGACCACGACTCTAACAAACTCGACAACCCATGAAAGCCAGCATGCTCAACCCCGCTCGGCGACCAAAGATGATTCGCGTTTAGAAGCGCCAAGCTCAAGCGGGTCGACCCCCGTCGCGCCGGCGATGACGACGGAGGCCGCTGGCGTTTCCCTGATTCGCAGCGGCACGCAGAGATTCTGCAGAGGCGCGGATGTTTTCAGGCAGTGCCGACAAGTCATGGGGCAAAGCTTCACAAACATCCCGCAAATACTCTGGCAACGGATCAACTTCTGCAGGCATATTGCGTGAAGAGCGGCAACACGGTTGACGACAATGCAAGCTACAGTAGCCAGAATTGCAAGAAGACGCCACCCTATTCCGACAGCTCCGACGACGACACAAACGTGGTGCAAGGGGCATTGGGGCCGCTGCAGGAGGCAACAACTCCCGACTGCAAACACACCGAGCACTGGTGCAATGCAACTGGCAATACCCAGTACGGCACCCGGGGGCAACAAGAGCATCACAAGACGCATGACGACAACGCTGCAGAGGCTCAACGCCTGCGACATGTCGACTTGGCGTGGGCACAGAGGCGCCACTACAACGGCAAGAGCGAGCACCACAATGATATGAACAAAGACGGGACACACAACCACGCAGCGCTCGATCACTGCATGAAGGCTCGCGGCAAGTGTCAGGTACAACTGGCGGGGCAGGGGGAGGGGGAGGTAAAGGGGGCCCACTAGTGCGATCAGACACAACATTGCGGCATGAGCACCGGCGACTACGACAATGCTCACGACAATACCCTGTGCGACAAGCTTCCCGAACGTGATTGCCGCAAGAAGCCAACCTACAAGTGAGCAAACGCGGAGCAACAAGCGGAGCGTCTTCCGGATGGCCGTCAAAATGACATTGGCAGCGCTCACTCAAACAATGCCTACTGCAAAAACCTGTGCGACAACGTGATGAAACCAGATTGTTGCACGACTCGCGCCGACAAGTACGACTGCTGTCCTGTCCACCAGGTCGCCGCTGTTGAGATGCATGGCAGGCACAACGACGACTAGTGCAATGACTGGTGCAAAATCCCGTCACACACGACCTGACAACACCAGCTGAACAACCCGACCGCCTACACACACGCTCAGCGGGCTC